AATAAATTGTATATATATAATATATATTATATATATATAATAATTATAATATATTTATATATATATATATATTCATTGTTTTATATTATATTATTGTATATAATATATATTTTTTTTTAAATTTTTATACCCGCCCATTCCCAACCAAAGCAGGGGCCCGAAAAGAAAAACTTTCACCTCATTTACTCCATCCTGGTCTGGCCAGAAGGGTGCTTTCACACAGTTTTAAATGCAACATTAACCCCCTCTTTCAGGGGTGCAGGCACTGTACTTCCCATCTCCAGGACTTCAAGTCCGGCCTGCGGGTTTTCCCTGAATCCTTCATAAATGTTACTTGCTCACACTCAACAGCACGTCAAGTATTAAAAACCATTTGTCTCCATTCACTCCTATAAAACGCTACGCATGCCTGCTGAAGTCCAACCCTCGCACACAAAACCTCCTTTACCCCTCCTCCCAAACCTTCTAGGCCGGAAACCCTACCCGCCTTCCTTCCACACAGATGATACACTTTGAAGCATTCTTTTCGCCCATTCCTCTACATGTCCGAACACCTCAACACCTTCCTCACCTTCTGAACAACAGTTTTGGTAATCCCGCACCTCCTCCTAACTTTCCCAAAATACGAATTCTTGCATTATATTCACACCACACATTGCCCTCAGACATACACTTTTCCCGCCTCCAGCCTTTCCTCGCTGCACATTCATTTACCCACGTTCACTAAACCCTATAAAGAGCGTTGGTAAAACTATACTCTCATACATTCCCTCTTTGCCTCCAAGGACAAAGTTCTTTGTTCCACAGCTTAATGCACCACTCACTTTTTTCACTCATCAATTCAGATCACTCACTTTCAATAGACCCATCCGCTGACACGTCCACTTTCCCCAAAAATCTGAATATTTACCTTCCTCCATTTCTCTCCCTCCAATCTGATATTCAACTTTATCACCATACATTTTGTTATTTAAAAACCTTACTCTTTCCTGTATTCACCTTAATTTTCTTCTTTTGCACACCCTACCAAATTCATCACCAATTTTCCCGCAAAAATTCTCTTTAGAATTCCAAGAGCACAGTGTCATCGGCAAGAGACTGGACAATCCCACTTTGTGTGGATTCTTATCTTTTAACTCCACGCTCTTGCCAAAACCTGCATTTACTTCTCTTAACAACCCATCATAAATTATTAAACAACCACGGTGACATCACACATCCCTTTTCTAAGGGCCCACTTTTTCTGGAAAAAATTTCCTCTTTCTACACTTAACTGGGGCCTCACTATTTCCCCGAAAAAAACCTTCACTGCCCTTTTAGTTAACCTACCTCCTACACCATTACACTTGCAACATTCACATGCCCCAAACACCTGTCATAGCCTTTTCAAACCATAAATGCCACAAAGACCCTTTAGCCTTTTCTAAATACTGTTCACTTATTTGTTCACTTAAACACCTGTCCACACAACCCCCAACCTTTTCCCAAGCCCTTGTTCATCTGCTTCCTATTTTTCCGTCTTACTCTTTTCTTTCAATTATAAACTTACCATACACTTTACAGGTACACTCAACAGACTTATCCCCCTATAAATTTTTTACATCTCTTTTATCCCCTTTGCCTTTATACAAAGGAAATATGCATGCTCTCTGAAACCTAGGTACTACCTCTTCCATACATTTATTAAATAATTGCACCCAAACCACTCCAAAACTATATCCCCACCTGCTTTTTAACATTTCTATCTTTATCCCATCAATCCCGGCTGCCTTACCCCCTTTTATTTTACCTACTGCCTCACGAACTTCCCCACCTCACAACTGGCTTGTCCTCCTCCTACAAGGGTGTTATTCCTCTTGCCTATACCGAAATCCAGCTTTTCCCAAACATCATCAACATTTAAAATTCCTCAAATATTCCTTCCTCTTCCCAATACCTCTACCTCTCCATTTAATAACTCTCCCTCCTATTTTTAACTGACAAATCCATTTTTCTTAGGTTTCTAACTTGTTAATCTCACTCCAAAACTTTTTCTTATTTTCAACAAAATTTGTTGATAACATTTACCACTCTCATTTGCTTCTTTTTACATTGCTTACCACTCTCTTAAAATTCTCCTTTTTCTCCATATACTCTTCCCCCTTGCATCACTTTACTTTGTAAAAACTTCTCATATGCAACTTTTTCCCTTTTACTCTCTTTACATCAACATTCCACCATCGCTCCTCTTCCCTCCTGCACCCACTTTCCTTAACCACAACTTTGCTGAACACTCAACACTACATTTTTTTTAAAATACCCAACCTCTTCGACCCATTGCCTATGCTTTTTCATTACCCATCATCCTCCAAAACGTTTATTTTACCCAACTGCCTCCTCTTTTAGTTTTTAAACCTTCACCCTCCTTCCCGAGCTTCTATTCCTTGTATCCCATCTACCTTTTTCTCTCGTGTAGCTACAACTAGAAAGTGATCTGATATATCTGTGGGCCCCCCTAAAACATGTACACCTGAATCTACTCAACGTTTTTTTCACCCAAAAATAATCCCAAAAAATACTGTCATTTCGCCCTACATCATATCGGGGATACTTATTTATCCTTTATATTTATATATTAATATATATTAATTATACAATATTTTATAAAAAAATTATTATAAAAATATATATATAATATTATTTTTATATTTGTATTTTATATATATATATATTATATATTTAAAATATTGTATATATTATTTTTAATATATAAAATGTTATTATTAAAAATATATAAAATTTTTAAAATATATTTTGTTTGTCAAAGTGCCTTTTATGACTCACAATTTCGTTTGGGATGAAGGCGGTTTGAACAGACTTGAAATAAAGAAAGCCCCCCCCTTCATGGTGTGGGATTCGTCTGTAAAAACGCATTTTTGGGGTCTTGCTTACTCCATATGGTTATGAAATATCCTAGGGGGTGAATCTTGTTTAGAGTGTGGCCGTGGTTTAAGCATGGGCTTGGGTTCAACCCTCACCCGTTCCGAAATTTTTCGGAGGTAAGAAGTTATTTTTTTGTTTTTGGGGTGTGGTGGTAAAATAACGCAACACCCTTTTCAGCTCTCAATTATAACTGGTTGTCGGGTTTGGTCATATCTTTAGCTAAAACAGGTTTTTTAACACCTTCTCGTTTAGACTTTTTTTTTTCCCAATTATCCCCTTTATCACTTCTTTTCTGGTCTTCCATTTCGTCACTTTTTTCTTTCACAGTGGTGGGGTGCCGGGGCCATGCTGAGCTCTCGAGGTTTGCAGGGCGGGATTTTGGGCATATCTATGCATGCCCCAATGGCCCCCACCCCACCTCAGCAAGCGTATCCCCAAAGGGGAAATCAAATTGGTAATATGTAAATCATGCTCATAGGTAGGAGATCTTAAAATTGACGTCTTTTTAAATTTTTTTTTAAATTTTGTTCTTTGCCGTGTAGCGGGATCTAGGCAGAAGTCCTGTGTTTTGTAAGTTTCAAATGTAAAAGTAAAATGTATGTCGTCAGTGTGAGGAGGGGAAAGTTTGTTTTCCCAAAAGGCGAAACCCCTAAATTGAGAGCAATCATTTTTTTGCCTGTAAAGAATCTGTATAAAACAACTACAGCACATGTGCTGCAGACTTAGGATGTTCGGATATCCCCACGCATTGCGGAACATCTGCACAATTTTCACTCTGCCCCGTATCCACGCAGCTTTTCTTTAAACAGATATCCGCATCTGCAAAATAAGTAAGACGTCCCCATACACATCCGCATTGCGTATATCTAAATTTTCAATCCCAACATCTTTCTGCAGACACTGAGCCCAAGTTCACAGGTTCACACAAATCCCCCCTTAAGGTATCAGTTGACAGGTGGCATGGAAATGAGGCCTAAAAGTAAATCACAAAAGCCATTGTGTTTCCCAAAGTCGGGAATATGGCATTCCCCTGTTGTTTACGAATCATTATGAAATAGTGGTCATTGGGGGGACAAATCGAAACAAACAATCTTTACCTGTTAGAAAAAAAAAAAAAAAAACTGCCTTTTTTATTTTTTCCCCCAAGGGAAAAAAATTACGGGAAAAAACCCGTTTTAAAAGTTGGCAAAAAAAGTAGAAGACTCTTCATTGAGATGGCAAAGCATAACTTTTTCAAAATTAGATACCAGGTTCTGCATAGGACAATTTTTGTCCCCGAACCAGGGGGGTTTTGATTGGGTCCTCCACTGTCCCACAAGAGGGAATTTTTCACCCACCCCTTTTTGGTATTCTTTCTTAGATAAACAATGGGGTGTGGTGGAAATAAATGGTAAAATACCGCCAAGGAAAATAAACACATTGCAGTATAATGTGATCTTTATTTACTACGTTTCGCCCACACATGGGGTTTTTAAAAATCACAAACATCTGTTTGTGACTTGAAAAAAACGCACTTTTTTGGGCGAAACGTGTCAATAAAAGGGTCCATTATACTCATAAAGTGTTTTATTTCCAATGGGATGTGGTAATGGTGCTCAAGTCCTTCCCATTCCTGAACTGCGTCCTTATCAGAAACTAAAAAGCCATGAAATGGGTAGTAGACATAGCAATTTTTTGTTCAATCTGTTCTGCCACGGTTGAGTCCAAAAACCTGTCAACCATGAACAATGACGATTAAGACAGGATTTTCGATCTTTTGATACCTAGTACTTAATTCTTTAGGTTATGACAATGATTCCATTCATCAATCGAGAAGGCTCCGAGTATATCTACCTCTGCATTTTTTGTATCCTAGTCATTTTTTTTACTTTCCTGTATACATATAAACTTTTGACTAAAAACTTATATAGCACGGTAAGACAAAAAATATGTTATGATGAGATCTTGACTAGGATACAGTTAGAATATTTGCATCATGTGAATATATTGTGAAAATATTGAGAGAATGGTGAGCGATATGTGTAAGGTGAATGTAAAGAGACATTATATTGTTCAGTGACCATGAGTCTCTTTCACAGTTCTGCCCACTGTGTACGTGCCCCACCAGCTGGTGGGAGTGCCCCTCGGGCAAGATGTCATCATTGAGTGCTACATCGAAGCCTGGCCCGCTGGTCTCAACTACTGGAAAAGACCCAACGGCATCGAGGTCCTTCATTCGGACGATAAGTTAGTCAAGTTTTCCTGTTTTACTTATATTATGTAGTAAGAAATCAGGATAACTTCTCTGTTTTTACGTTGAAGATGGTGTAGCTTCTCCATTTTCTATGTATAAGATTGGTTAAACAAACCACGGTACGGGAGGGGTTAAAATCCATGGCACAATCATGCTATGACGATTTCGTGAGCCAAGATTGATTAACTTCTACATTTTCTACGTAGAAGGTTGGGTGGCTTATATTTTATACATACAGGTTTGGATAACTTCTTCCTATCATGCACAGAAAATAGTTTAGCATTTATATTTTTGTAAATGATGGAGCAGCTGCTATAATTTTAACTAGTAGCAAAATGCATTTCTGTAATCTTCATTTGGAAGACTGAAGTTACACAATCTTTTATGATTACCGATAAACTGACAGAGGATCGAGCCATCACTAGTTATGCTGAATGACTCATGTATAACGTTGAATATTATCTTAATACAATTAATACTACTAACATATATATCTTTCACTGAAATGCCAATACGACATTTCCTGAGAAGGCAATTCATTAACTTCTTCATATCTTAATTATTTCCTGCAAATTGATTACATTAAAGGATATATCGCTTAACATTATGTTATATATATTCTCATAAATCATATAGACACTCATATATTGGTGGCACGGAAGATGAGACGAATAATTGCCGAATGACACCGTGTGTCCAGTTAGTGTTGTAACAGAGGAGATAATTGGTAGATGAGATGTCGAGTTCAGAATATAATGTTACTCCATTATGTTTAAAATAAAGACCAAATATTATGTATGCAAGGAAAATTATGTCATTATCGATTGTTGGCAGTAACGAAGAAAATGAAAATGTTAATGATGGGTAGTTGAATGATATTTTGATATTTATATTTTTTTACTTTAATAATTCACTCGCACTCACACTTTCACTCACGTACACACAGACAGGCAGATACACAGACACACACACACACACACACACACACACACACACACACACACACACACATACACAAACACACTTTCCTGTATACAGCAGTAAGACAAGAGAGAGAGGGGTGGGTGGATTGCATTTTCTTGGACTGCAAGAAGGCGTTTGACACAGTTCCACACAAGAGATTGGTGCAAAAACTGGAGGACCAAGCAGGGATAACAGGGAAGGCACTACAATGGCTCAGGGAATACTTGTCAGGAAGACAGCAGCGAGTCATGGTACGTGGCGAGGTGTCAGAGTGGGCACCTGTGACCAGCGGGGTCCCACAGGGGTCAGTCCTAGGACCAGTGCTGTTTCTGGTATTTGTGAACGACATGACGGAAGGAATAGACTCTGAGGTGTCCCTGTTTGCAGATGACGTAAAGTTGATGAGAAGAATTCACTCGATCGAAGACCAGGCAGAACTACAAAGGGATCTGGACAGGCTGCAGACCTGGTCCAGCAATTGGCTCCTGGAGTTCAATCCCACCAAGTGCAAAGTCATGAAGATTGGGGAAGGGCAAAGAAGGCCGCAGATGGAGTACAGTCTAGGGGGTCAAAGACTACAAACCTCACTCAAGGAAAAAGATCTTGGGGTGAGTATAACACCAGGCACATCTCCTGAAGCGCACATCAACCAAATAACTGCTGCAGCATATGGGCGCCTGGCAAACCTCAGAACAGCATTCCGATATCTTAATAAGGAATCATTCAGGACCCTGTACACCGTGTACGTTAGGCCCATATTGGAGTATGCGGCACCAGTTTGGAGCCCACACCTAGCCAAGTACGTGAAGAAACTAGAGAAAGTGCAAAGGTTTGCAACAAGACTAGTCCCAGAGCTAAGAGGTATGTCCTACGAGGAGAGGTTAAGGGAAATCAACCTGACGACATTGGAGGACAGGAGAGATAGGGGGACATGATAACGACATACAAAATACTGAGAGGAATTGACAAGGTGGACAAAGACAGGATGTTCCAGAGATTGGACACAGTAACAAGGGGACACAGTTGGAAGCTGAAGACACAGATGAATCACAGGGATGTTAGGAAGTATTTCTTCAGCCACAGAGTAGTCAGTAAGTGGAATAGTTTGGGAAGCGATGTAGTGGAGGCAGGATCCATACATAGCTTTAAGCAGAGGTATGATAAAGCTCACGGCTCAGGGAGAGTGACCTAGTAGCGATCAGTGAAGAGGCGGGGCCAGGAGCTCGGACTCGACCCCCGCAACCTCAACTAGGTGAGTACAACAACTAGGTGAGTACACACACACACACACACATACACACACGCACACACACACACAGCATTAAACTACAGACCAGTGTCGCTGACTTGTATAGTATGTAAAGTCATGGAAAAGATTATCAGGAGAAAAGTAGTGGAACACAATGAAAAGACAGGGCTCATGCATGACAGCACGGCTTCAGAGATGGGAAATCCTGTGTCACAAATTTACTTGAGTTCTACGATAAGGTAACAGAAGTAAGACAGGAGATAGAGGGATGGGTAGATTGCATCTTTTTAGATTGCAAGAAGGCTTTTGACACAGTATCACACAAGAGACTGGTGCAAAAATTAGAGGAGCAGGCAGGAATAAAGGGGAAAGTACTGCAATGGATCAGGGAATACCTAACAGGAAGGAAACAATGTGTGTTTGTATGTGCTAAAGTGTCAGAGTGGGCGAATGTGTCGAGTGGGGTTCCACAAGGTTCAGTCCTAGGCCCGGTGCTGTTTCTTGTGGAAAGGAATAGATTCAGAAGTGTTACTGTTCGCTGATGATGTGAAACTGATGGGGAGAATACAAGTGGGCGAGAATCAGTTAAGATTACAAGGGGATCTGGACAAACTACAAGTATGGTCCGATAAATGGCTCTTGGAGTTTAACCCCAGTAAGTGTAAGGTCATGAAGATTGGGGAAGGACACAGAAGACAGCAGACGGAGTACAGGTTAGGAAACCAACAGCTGCAAACATCAGTTAAAGAAAAGGATCTTGGGGTAAGCATTATAACGAACATGTCCCCTGAGGCACAGATCAATCAAATAACTGCTGCAGCATATGGGAGATTGGCAAACCTGAGATTGGCATTTAGACCTCTGAGTAAGGAGTCATTCACGACGTTGTACACAGTGTACGTAAGGCCTATATTGGAATATGCAGCGCCAGTATGGAACACGATTAGTCCCGGAACTGAGGGGTATGTCTTATGAGGAAAGGTTAAGGGAACTCAACATGATGACACTATAGGATAGGAGGGATAGAGGGGACATGATAACAACGTATAAAATACTAAGAGGCACTGACAAGGTGGACAAGGATCGAATGTTTCAGAGATGGGATACAGAAACAAGGGGACACAATTGGAAACTGAAAACCCAGATGAGTCATAGGGATGTTAGGAAGTATTTCCTTAGTCTTAGAGTTGTCAAGAACTGGAATAATCTGGAGAGTGAAATAGTGAAAGCAAGTTCCATAAATAGCTTTAAGAAGAGGTATGACAAATATCATGGAGCAGGGAGAGAGTGAATTAGTATCGACCAGTGAAGAGGCGGGGCCAGGAGCTATGACTCGACCCCTGCAGCCACATATAGGTGAGTACATGTAGGTGAGTACACACACACACACACACACACACACACACACACACGCACAGACACACACACACACGCACACACAAACACACACACGCACACACGCACACACACACACACACACACACACACACACACACACACACACACACACACACACACACACACACACACACAAGGAGGCAGAGGAAAGGTTTATTCCCAAGGGAAACAGAAATAATAGGAAGACCAAAGCGAGTCCTTGATTTACCCGAAGGTGTAGGGAGGCAAAAACTAAGTGCACCAGAGAATGGAAAAGGTACAGGAGGCAAAGGACCCAGGAAAATAAGGAGATTAGTAGAAGAGCCAGAAACGAGTATGCACAGATAAGGAGGGAGGCCCAGCGACAGTACAAGAACGACATAGCATCGAAAGTCAAGTCTGACCCGAAACTGCTGTATAGCCACATCAGGAGGAAGACAACAGTCAAAGACCAAGTGACAAGGCTGAGGAAAGAAGGTGAACTCACAAGAAACGATCAAGAGGTAGATGAAGACTCAACATGAGATTTAAGGAAGAATTTACAGTGGAGACAGGAAGGCCTCTCGGGGGACAGACCAGATGGGGACACCAGCAATGAATATACCAAGAAGTGTTGGATGACATACATACAGATGAGGAGGAGGTGAAGAAACTGCTAAGGGACATCGATACCTCAAAGGCAATGGGACCGGACAACATCTTCTCGTGGGTCCTTAGAGAGGGAGCGAATATGTTATGTGTGCCACTTACCACAATCTTCAACACGTCCCTGGAAATTGGGCAACTACCTGAGGTATGGAAGACGGCAAATGTAGTTCCCATTTTTAAAAAAGGAGACAGAAAAGAGGCACTAAACTATAGACCTGTGTCACTGACGTGTATATTATGCAAAGTTATGGAGAAGATTATCAGGAGGAGAGTGGTGGAGCACCTGGAACGGAACACGAGTATATTGTAAACCAGCATGGATTCATTGAAGGAAAATCCTGTGTCACAAACCTTCTGGAGTTTTATGATAAAGTAACAGAAGTAAGACACGAGAGAGAGGAGTGGGTTGGTTGCATCTTCTTGGACTGCAAGAAGACCTTTGACACAGTTCCTCACAAGAGATTATTGCAGAAGCTAGATCATCAGGCTCATATAACAGGAAGGGCACTGCAATGGATCACAGAATACCTGACAGGGAGGCAACAACGAGTCATGGTACGTAATGATGTATCACAATGGGCACCTGTGACGAGCGGGGTCCCACAGGGGTCGGTCCTAGGATCACTGTTATTTTTGGTATATGTGAATGACATGATGGAAGGGTTAGACTCAGAAGTGTCCCTGTTCGCAGACGATGTAAAGTTAATGAGGAGAATTAAATCAGATGAGGACCGGGCAGGACTTCAAAGAGACCTG